ACTCTTCCCAGACCTTGCAGCCAGCGCCCTGTGAACAATTTCTTCTTTTATAACGGTTCTTTGTTTATCTAACTGAGGGCGATGTTATTTTGGCATCGTTCTGGCATTTCTGAACATGCCGTTAAAAACTGCAATGAATAGCCAAGGAGCTTGGCAAAATAATTTGCGAGAGATCTTGACGTCTGGGAAGTCTGCGCAGCAAAGTTCCCAGTAATCCACAATGTGGCCAGGCGGAAGCATTTTCATGCCTGCAGCAAAACCTTGTTTGTGATCCTCTTTCTTGAAGAGATGCCGGGGTCGCCGTCCTCGACGCTTCACAGGGCCCAACAACTCGACCTGGGATTCTATTGCCTCTGGCATTGGCTCTGCCAACTGATGCCAACATTTCTCCAAGAACTCGATGATTTGAGGCCTTGTGGAGTCTCTGACTAACCTCTCCCGACGCTTCGGAATGTGACGCCCATCCACTGGGCACTCCTCTCCTGAAAAGGCGGCTCGCTTCAACCGGCCAAAGCGGTTCTTGCCAATGCCTATGAGCAGCCTGAAACTCTTGTTGCAGCAAGTGTGGCCTTGCAAGGCCAACCTGTACTTCGCCTTTGGCTGATGTGAGCTATCTCCTCCCCCCAAGCTGCTGGAACTTGACGCCGCCACGGGTTGCCGGTTGTGGAACAAATTGTAAACCTGGCAGAACTGACAGAACCGCAGATCGCCCGCAAGAATTAAAACAAATGGACCCAACTTGAACAGCATGACACCTTGTTTAAGCCATTGTATAGCGAGCGACGTGACCTTGCACAAGCAAAATGCAAGAAGAGTCCATTGACACACTAAAATGAAAATCCAGTCATAGAGTGACTCTTGAATTAATGCATTTTTTACACAACATGATGCCACAAGCCTTGGCATCAGATTCCAGTTTGGGCAGCAGCTTGATATCCACTCGCAGTGTGAGAAGGGCATGCAAAAGGGCAGGGTCACTCTTCCAAGGATGCCTGCAGCTAGGATCTTTGCAAGAGCACTTGGATTGAACAACACGCTGCAGCGTTCTGCTTTCCTGCGCGATCAACTCGGCATCGGCCATCCTTTTGCGCTTGCACCCTTGCGTGTTGGCGCGCGCAACAACGGCCTGTTCATGGTCTGGGCATTGATGGTTCTCATCATCAGAGAGTCGGTCCAGGGGTGCCAACACCACATCATGACCAGGAGGTTCTTCCTCCTCGTCGCTTAAAGCAGCAACACCAGGCAAGACCATAGAGTAGAACCATGGCAGCTAGTGGAACAGCGAACTAGTAGAACAATGGCAACATTTGTTTGTGGCGAAGCCAAGATTGGTTAGGGCAGTTGGCGCCGTTTTCATCTTCAACACGCAAGCGCATTTCAGTACATTGAAATTATTGCGCGTGTTCCGCGAATAGTTTAACACTGACAATGTGAAGAGTAACTGTGTCACCAATATGAACGCTGACAAAACTCTGCACTGACAGGTTCAAGTTTCAAAAATGACACAACACAAACGGAGCACCTGGTTGACACATGAATGCTTGACTGCAGAGCGGCAGCGAGGCCGCTAACAACAGAATGCGCGCTACCAATCCACAACCCCTAAGCCTTTTTGCCCATTGCATGCTGCTGCTCTGGTGAATCAGCGTGGGCGACTCCAATATGTACAGTAATCAGCATTCTGGCCACCCCGGCGCCTCTTGCGCCCTTTGAGCACAAGGATTTCATGGCGCTTCGACCAAGTCGGAGGCGGTGGAGGTTCATTGCCACACGCGTTCAAGTTCGCAGGGAGCGGCGGCGGCGGCGGAGGGGGCGCCGCAGAAGAACTCGATGAAGAAGATGGCCTTGGATTCGAAGACTCTGAAGAAGGCTTCTTCCTTGCACTGGGCTTGGCGGCAGGAGAGGATTGCGTTGGTGGTGCAGGGAGCGGCGTTGGAGACGCCCGCCATGGGGCTTCTGGGGCTTCTGGCCTAACTTCAACTTCAGGTCCAGCTTCAAGGGGGATCTCCACGACTTTCGCCTGGGCCTCGTTGCAAGAGGCAGCCAGAGCCTGCGTGAGCAGCAACGCAAAGGGTTTCACGTCCACCACATCTTCTCCTTCTTCAGAACACGGAGACACGGCTTCGCAAACGAAGATGGAGTCGACGTGCGGTGTGTCATCCATAACAGTAGTAAGTTACGCGCCCATGGCCTCTGAATTGACAAAAAGTAGTTGGTCTACTTTGCCACGACTGTCAGGTCAGAACACAAATGTCTTGTCATCAATTGAAACTCACTCCCTTGTGACATGGATGAACTCCCATGGAACACTTACAAATTAAACTTCTGCTAGGATCTCATGGGCTGCGGGCACATACACGCAGCAAAAGCGCAATGAGACCTTTACACACAGCAACAAACATGCAAACAGAGCGGCCCAAGAGCCGCTATATTGGTCTTCAACGTTTTAACGTTTTGAGCCTCAATCACCTTTCGAGTTTGTGCATATATGCGATGCAACAAAAAACTTGCGTAGCTCAACGCATAACTTGTCTCGGCAAAAACTCTTCGCGCGCGCATAATTCTTGGAGGTGTTGTATTGAAATTGCCTTACAAGTTGAAGTTGGGCAACAGCTGCGCACTTACACAAACAACGATATTGCGTTTGCCTCGACTTGTTGTTAAAGCTTCACTGCGCCGGGAACACAAGGCAAGGCATTGAGTGTGACCACTTCAAACAGAGTAAGTTAAACTTCAAGCGGCGCCCACATACTTTTCCAACATTTATGCCCAGGGCTGTTGCCTGTAGTATAATGGTTGTTGGCAAGTTTTCCTTTTCTGCAGTCCGACCGTCTTCAGAAAGAAATATGTTTCACAACACTTATAGCCTTCGCGCTACGAACAATTGCGGGGACAGTCCTTGCCGTAAAACACATACTGATTAGGCAGCGTTTCGCTGCCGCGCGCGCAAACTCGGACGTGTTCTAGGCAAGGCTGGCTCACGCGTGGGGTCCATACGCTTTTGCAGACTGTAGTACATGTGGCGCGGGTACTTCAAAGCCAATCTTGTGGCCACCAGGTTTGCCAAAGCAATGTCCTCACCCTTATCCTCAGGTTGGGGACAGGTCAGGTATAAAAACTGACATTGGACAAAGCGCATTCTTTCAAATCCGAGGGTCGCTGTCCAAAAGTTTCAAGTACCGCTTGTACCAAAAGTAGAAAGTTCGCAGTTTCCACCATCGTTTGAACTTGTTGGGCGACATCACCATCTCTGTCGGCGTCGCCATGTTGGTGGTCACAATGTTGATCAATCAAGCTTTGGGCCAGCGCCAGCGCTTGTTGTCGCGTTTGTCTAAAGCAGCAAAATCTAGAAATGTCTTATAAAACTGAGTACGTATGACAAACAGCTTGAAGTCAGTCAGCGCAAATCCGATCGAGCAAACTTACAAGATGAGTGTGTCCATCAACCCTCCCGGCGCCAGTCTTGCTACAGGGGATTGGCAGTTTCAGGGTACTTCCCAGCCAGAGGAGTTCAGCAAATGGCAGCCTAGTAGCATTAAAAAACACAATCTAAATGGGGCAAGCGTTCTGCCATTTTTTGAGAACTTGATTGTCCCTTGAGCCAATGGGAACAGCATGCGAAAGAGCCTGATACATGTCAGCCACCCAGTATAGCTGTTTAAGCAGGTGCGAGCGCTTGGTTGACACTTTAGCCAAAGGGAACAGCACTGCGTAAGAGCCTGATACATATGTCAGCAACTAGAGGGAGGTGAGGCCACAGAGGCTCCAGTTGCAGGAGAAGAAGGACTGCCAAGGTCTGCAAGCGGGTCCACGTCCTCCATACCATAGGCTTGACGTGCCACTCTCCAAACCAGCGCCAATTGAATGGCTTCGACAACTGACAGTTCGCGAGGGTCTCCACCCGAGGTTGAAGCGATTCGCACTAAAGCCAGGGTCTCTTTGAAAGCACTGGTGGCTATATTATTGGCTAACACGCGCAAACTTGGAACTTGCCCCACTGCAGTTTGCCAGGCGCTCCAAGCAGGGTCTCGTGAACCAGCCCATCGGCGAGCTTCTTCAAGGGTGGTGATGCCTGCGAGCTCGGAGGCGATCAGCAGAATCGATGCGGTCATTCAAAGCAGCGAAGGCACGAAGAGTCACCGGCGCGATGCCGATGTCAAAGGCCTGAACCGGCCGGCCAAGGTGGGCCACCAGCCCCGAATCCACCAACCACTCAAAGCACCAACGGCCCAAACCACGAACAGGAACAGGACGAAATCATCCATCGAGGAGGTCGCACATATCCCCCTCTCCTGTCGTTGGGCCCTTGAGCCAAAATGGACAGGAGAGGGGATACATCAACACAAGACTCGACCACTCCACCAAGTTCCTGCTTAAGTTATTACACATAAATAGGATTTATTACGCAAAAACCTGGATGAACAAAACAGCAACGTCAGAATCTTCATGAACCTGTTAACATCCAACATTCCTCGTTGCCCCACATCTTTCATCATCTTTCATGCCAAGAGACATCTGAAACATCACGAAAAATGACGACGCCTTCAAATACCCCTCCAAAAGGATCCAAAAACCTAAAACATTGCCAAATGATGGCAAACACAACTGAACATCTTAAGTTCATTCCAACAAAAGTTGAAAAACAAAAGCATTGGGCAAAGACCTCCAGAGAAGGAATTATCTTTGATTTCCAGCACTAAAACACTAAAAATGTATAACGACTTCTTAGAAACCACATCCAAGGTATCCAAAAAGCACTAAATCAGTACCAAATGTTGCCCAAAACATCCAAACTGATAAAACATCCCTCAAGGCATTGCAACCAAAAAGAAACTGCAAAACACATCAAACAACACATGGCAAAGACCTCCAAACAAATGTCTTTTGTTCGTTCATGTCCACCACCTTCTTCCGTTCCGCTCCTTCGGCCTTTCCCCAGGACCGACCTCTCACGGCTCCCCGACCTCGGCTCCACGGCTCCAAGCGACCGCTCTCCGCGCCTCGGCGTGGTCGCCCTTCGCCTCCAAAAGGCGCGCGAGATTGCAGACGGAGTCCAGAGTGTGCGGATGACCGGCTCCAAGCTGAGCTTCACTGCCTGCTAAAGCCCTTCGGTAAAGGCCTTCGGCATCTTGGAGCTTGCCCTGCTTCTTCAGCAACACCGCAAGGTTGTTAACGGACAACAATGTGTCCGGATGATTAGCTCCCAGTTGAGCTTCACAGGCTGCTACAGCCCTTCTCTGAAGTACTT